TGTTATTCCTTGTTATTGTTTTAGTATTATATCATAAAGAATGTTTTAAATTGTTAATGCATAGTTCAAACTTTTTGCCAGGTGCTTTCAGTGGAACATATTCTAAAGAACCAAATTAATATGCTCATCAAGGAGCTTTAGCCAAGCATGGCTTCCTATAAAACAAAAATAATGATAAAATTTCCAAACACCTCTTTGTTCCCAGCATATGTACGCATCTTTTTAACACTGCATCTAAATGAAGTTTTAAGAAGCTCTGATGTACAGAGTGACTTTAAACTGGTGCAGTGACAAACCAGCATAACAGGATATAATACCTGAATAATATTCTTGCTGTGCCAGCAAAACATAATGCTCTGAAATGCATCACTACTACGTTTCATCTTTAATGTTTACTTCCTGGTGCAGCAAATGCTGGAATCAGATTCTTCTGATGTTCATGACTCAGCTTAGATATAATATTGCCCAGTCACAAAATCATGATTTGGCAATCATCAGTATCCCCAGCGCAGCTGCTGCTCCTCCTCATTCTTTTTCCTCACAAAATTGTTCCCTTCCACTTCCCATTTGGGACATTGTTATGGTTAGTATTATACCTGCAACAATACTTCCACTATGGATAGCACCCAAAAATGATTTGAAAACAAGATCAGAAGCAAGTTTAGGAACTATGACTTGGTGCTTTAATTTGAAGTAACTCCTGTTTAGATAATTACAACTATCTCCCAAACTGGAAGGCAAAGGATACCTTTACAACAGTGGTGCCCAACCTTAGGTCCTCAGATGTTCTTGGTCTAAAACACTCTGAAATCCTAGTCATGATGGCTTCTGAGAGTTTTAGTCCAAGAAAACCTGGTTAGGAATCACTCCTCTGTAAAGTAAGAAATGAGAAAGGAAGTCAGCAGGGAGTTCTCAGTCCTTAAACCATGACTTGGAAAAAAGCAGTATTATATCTTTAGCAAGCAATGAGAACAAACTGATCAAAGTATTTTGCTTCAACCGAGTTATGAGCTGGGTGTTAAAACTGTTTGTTCTGCTTTAAAGCTCAATGGCGTACACTGTATGAAAGACAGCAACTGATTTCTTGAACAATCAGCCAATTCATGAATTAACCCAATGGCGTCTATGTTTTCTCTTACCTGAGCTGTTTGGAAACCCCCACCACACACACACACACACACACACACAAAATCTAGCCTGGCCTGGCCTTAGAAAACTCAAAACAACAACAAAAAGAAATCCTTTATGGTTTGTTGTACAATACCCTCATCCATACACTACATTTAACTAAACTGAAACAAAAATGTATGTTGAATATATGTCTCCTGTCTACATCTTAAATGGAATTTGGGAAAGAACGAGAGATTTTCAGTCTCCGAGGAATGCATCTAAGGAATGTTGGCAGCAGCATTCTTGATTTATCCTTTTCTAATGTTGCATTCTCCTCTGCAGGGGTATTGCAAAATCACTGCTTCACTATAAGTTGTGTAACATAATATAGCTGGAAGTATGGCAAAATAAATGGGTACATTTGAGGTCAGCATGTTTTCTACACCTGTATAGCTGCATAAATCACAAGTTTCAAAAACAAGTATAATCAGATAATTTTTAAAAAAGTATTTATGTTCCCTTATTTGCTGATGTGTATTAATGTACTATAAAACTCATTTCCCATAGTTGATAGAAGTTCATTTCTAACACACAGCAGAAGATATACATTGCTGCACACTAATCCAGATCATCCAAAAGGTCAAGTAGATGTTAAGATGGTAATTACAAAAAAACATGCATTCACATAATATGCCAATATCAATAGCACCTTTGTTGAATATTAAGTATGAAACTCTAGAAATTAAGCTACGTGCAGTCCATATTTAGCAATAAACTCCATTAAACACACTTTTCTCACACCTGCAAGAAAACATAAAGTACCAGAAAAATATTTGAAAAAAAGCCCAACACTTAAGAAGACAAAATGGAATCTAAGCTAACATAAATCATGTCAGGTTTATTGAACTGCAACAACGGAATCCATATGCTAACATTACCTGTTTCTCCTAAGATCTGATGCCTGTACAAAGACAAAACAAATAGAAGCTATCCTATGATTTATATAGGGCCAAACAAAAGAGAATAAATAAAACCATTGAAGTACTCCTAATGAGTACAGCAAGAAAAGCAACCACTGTACCTTGGTGGTCTAGCAAAAGGAGCGGAAAAAGAGTCAGTTTATTCCACATGCTTCTACTGTATAATTACTGCCTGTGCTAGTTCATCTATAGATACAGGGTTTTAAGCCCCCTGTTCATTGCTCCAATCCCCCAAAAGCTCCAGGTACTGCAGCTTCAAAAAGTAAACTGCAGCAGAATGAAAAAACAGAAATAAAGTGAAGTGATTGTGTCTTAGATCTTTATGCCTGACCTCACATAAATATTCATTTGCCCAGTAGCTGAGAGGCTTTAGTACAGTATTGCTTGGGGAAAAGCATACACACATGTGCTCCAAGCAGAATTCCTTTTATTTTCTTCTCTCTTTCAGACCTCTAAAACACTCACAAATTGTGTTTAATAAATAGTCAAATTGGTTCTTAGGCGGAAGTTTCACAGAACTAGTTTACTTCATTTTTTTTCATAAAGATCCTTAATTAGGTTAGAACATCTCACACATCTGTGCTCTGGAAGCCTCTGTCAACCCAGCAAATGCAATCACACGGAAACCAATGTCCTCCAGCTATCAGACAATTGATTTTTGCAGGATTCTGCTCATGTGTAGCTCAGGGGACATGCGATATGTCCATTCATTTCTCAGTCAGTTCACCCAGGCTTCATTAGGAGAGAACATTTTTCTTCAATATTCTCCTGTACCAAAATATTTTGTTCTTTTCCCTTGCAAAGAAAACATTTGAAAAGATGTACCAGGAAACTAAAGACAACTGCATATAAATGCCGTGATTCAGCCAAAATTAAACCCCTTACATCCTTTCATTTGAATGGAAGTGTTACCATATGTTAAAATAGCCTCCACTGAAATAAATAGGACTAGCGTCATCTGTAGTGTACCCAAAGTATACAACTCTGGGATAAAAGCCTAACGGAAAGTATGTGTTGAATATAGTTTGTAGAGGTACAGTTAAATTATATACGTTTCCCCCTCAGGATTTCACCAAGGGTGACATCATTTCTCACCAATGGATTATTAAAATTGATTAGAACTGCACCATGTTTTCAAAAGACAGTAAGGCAAAAAGCCCATATATTTGAAAGAACAGAAAAGGAAACAAATGGCTTTGTTAGAAGCTGTGCATACATAATCTTTGTGTTCAGAGAACTACACTTGCCATTTTCAAATGTATTAGAAGTTCCACACAAAATTTATGATTAGTCAAAATGCTGTATCCAACAAAACATTTGATGCCCTGAAGTAAAACACTGTACAGTACCATGAAATATAATGTCCAAAATCATATAAGAGAACTGGATGCAAAGGCATGTACTTTGATAAAAGTAACCCAGAGCTTTAAGCATGCAATGTCAATTCCACTTGTGAAATCCATGCTCACTGCCTGTAAACCCTTGAGGAGACTACAAGCACAGTTTGTAGAAATCCTTCCTCCTATACTTCCAATATACAGTACGAAAATTCACACTTATGCGGCATAAATCATCTCGCATAAAATATCTTGAAAAGAGGAGCACATACTTGATGGATTCTAAACCTTTCCTTATTCAACAAGGTGGAAAGGTCATGTAAAACTTAAAAGAATCTCTCCAATTCCACTTGACGGCTGCCCCGCAGCTTCCCTTTTGAAAGGAGCTTATGAGATGCAAGTTGATGTTTCAGTGTACAGCAGCATGTTCGATATTAATATGAGGAAGCTTAGGATTCTTTAAGCTGCATGTTTCATAGACGTGCAATAGCTAAATCTTCTGGAACATACTTCAGTTCCTTAAAGGCAACAATGTTTGAACTTCTTGTTTAAGAACACACAATCATCCTTAAAGGGAAAAGCATCTGTGGGAAGGGGAATCCTAAATAATGTTTTCTCCCCCTAAAAATGTGGAATTGGAACATAGAAGAAAAAAAGGATTTTACTATAACACAGTGTTTCTTGGTGTTGTAGAGCTGCAGTCCACTAAAGCTAGATTTAGAGACACAGAAATAAATTATGCATATTTCTGCCCTCAACTTCAAATATATTCCATGTTTTGGAAACTCAGATGTTGCTAATAGGGTCTTCAGAGGCATCCTTTAAGGGAAAAAACAGTCATGCTTGCAAACCCCCTATCTTTTTTCAAGCAAGAATGTACATGGAATTGTGCATATACACAGCAGCATAGTGCCTGTTGGTATGTTATGTGCAATCAAGTAGATCAGACAGTAACTTGACTTGGCACCAATGTATGGATGCATGGAGACATATCCACAGGACGTATGCATTACGAGATGATAAGAGACATTTACAACCCAGAATATAAGAGCAGGGCAGCCTCAAGTGACATCACCAAATCAACTGCAGTGTCAAGCCACTCCAATATATCATCCTACACACCACTGCTTTCACAATCCCCTTTCTGTTCTAGCCATTAAAAAGCACTTGTGATTGCAAATACGAGGGGTCTTTCCAAACACAGACAAGGCATGGCATACTCTGTTGGCACACAGCAGAGACAGTAGATGTTGGGAAATTAATCAAGACATTCATATCTTTTAACAACTACAAAATGCATCACCATAGAAACCAGAAAGCAAGAAACGAGTAATACCACTAAAGTAAATGCCATCTCTAGTTCATCCCTACATAGCAGCCTAAGGGATTTCAGCTCAGATAGAAATTAACTAGGGTTCAGTACATCCAGGCAATCACTACATCCAAGACATGGGGGACTTTAAAAAAAAAAAAATAAAGAAAGAAGCTTTCTTCAGGAATTTGATTGTTCATTCCCATCGTAATTTCACAGCCATTTGAATCACAATTTTAGACAAACCACATCTTTACTTACAGGCATTTGTTACAGCGAAGCTGTTTGCTGTTTCAATGTTGTCTACGTGAGGGACCAAAGTAAAAGGTGCTTCAGATGCATTGGGACTGGTGTTGTGAAGAAAAATTGCTAGCCGAAAAGCAGTATATTCCTGATCTGTGTTTCTGATGAAGAGGCCACCTACCAATAAATAAATGATAGCAGAAGAGAGAAAAGTGTCACAATTAATTATTTCTGTGCCAGCCACTGTAGTGTGAAAAGCTTCCTCAGGTCCCCTTAATGACAAATACATGTTTATGTCCAGGAAAATGTGAGACTTTTGAGACTTTTAGAATCCCAGCTTTTTCTTCTCTTAATGAAGTGGGTTTTTTTAAGCTGTCCTGGTTTTGCTTTTTTAAGTCTTAAACAGCCATATCTGCTGTGACCTTTGAAATCATTTAGCTTCCATCTCAGTTAACATGGAATACATTGCTAAACTGGCCCTCTCCGTTATTAAGCGGCAGACAGATTAAAGAGAACAGTGCTTCTATTAAAACATGTTTCCGGGCATACAGACACAGCAGAACTAACAGCATACATAACACACTCATATATAGTATCCTTCCCCACTTTTATGTGCCAGCATAGATTTACATGGGAAAACAGCAAGGGGGGGGGACTGCAAGAAAGAAGAGCACAAGGAACTTTGTCCCTCTGCAGCCTGTGGGCAGGAAGCAGGGAGCTGTTCAGCCTTATTAGCAGCATCTTTAGGAGTACATGAGAAATGATGCAGTGATGGAGCTAGAACTGGACAGGATTCAAGAGCCGCGTCCCGCGCAAAGAAGGGGGAAGCAAGGGGCGAGTGGAATGAGGCTAAGGGGGAACAGGGGAAGGGGATATAGACACATTTCAAATGCCCAAGTTTCAAAGTAGTGGCAAGAAAGGCAACCGAGCAGTAACTGCACCTCGCCTCTCCCCCCCCCCACGACTTCCACTGCTTTCGCCCCACGGCAAATACTTTACTGCAACGTGCAGGCTGTGCTATATAGGGGATCGCAGAGCATCCCGACGAAGACATGTAGTTCGGGGAAGGGGGGGGCTCTCTTCCCAAGTTTGCACACACACTGTGCACTTCACACACTCGCACGCAACGCACACATCCCTCTCCCAGCCCTGAGGACTATTCCAAACGGAACCGTCATCCCTCAGCTCCCGTGTTCCCCCAACCCTCCCTTCACACGTACACATGGCGAGTGCGAATGGGGTTAATGAGGGGAGATCTATCCCCTCACCCCAAGTCCTGGTGGCCCGGATCTGACCTCCCCACCACCACCAACTCCTTTTCCTCGACCCTTCCACTCCCCCCCCCTTGCCCCTCATTTCTCCCTTTTCCATCCCGTGCCCTTTCTTCCTTCCTTCCCTCCATCCCACCTCCCTCCTCTCCCGGCGCCTTCCTCCCCGCCTGATGCAGCGCTTACCTATTTGCACGCTGCTAGGAAAAGCGCCCATTGCGAGTCCCCAAAAGCCAGAAAACAACAAGACTAGCTGTCTGCAAATAATCCTCATCTTCTTCTTTCTCTCTCTTTTTTTTTGCCTCCGCGGGTCTCCTCCTCACGCGCTCTCCCTAGACGTCGTTCAGAGAGGCATTGAGGACGCGGTGGTAGCGGTGGGGGAGGGAAGGAGACGGGGGAGGAGGTGATGGGCACGAAATTGAGGGGGGGAAAATGGGGGGGGGAAGGAAAAAAATTAAAAATGGGACAGGGAAGAGAAGAGAAGCGGGTGGGTCGCTCTTTTCCCCCCTCCTCCCCCTCCCTTCTTTTCTTTCCCCCGCTCTTCTTTCGTTGCTTTTTCGGGTTTTTTCTTCCTCCCCTCCCTCCTTCCTTCCTTCTTTCCCCCTCAGCAAGCCATCCTGCTGAGGCGGATTTTTCCCGCAGTCTCCATCGCCCTGGCAGAGCTTTCTGTCCGGCTGCAAATGTTTCACATGCAAAAGATGGTGGAGAGAGTTTGGTGGTGCTGAGGAGAGAGGAGTCTAGTGGCTGCGCTCAGAAATAAAGACATGCGCTATTCCTCCCGCCTTCCTGCTCCGACCTCCGCTACCCTCCCTCCCTTTTCCCTCCCTCCCTTCATCCCGTTTCCCCCCTCCCTCCCTGGCGGTCTTCAGCATAGACAAACACCACCACAGTAACAACAACAACAACAACGGCGCGGTGCGTCGTCCGTTGGGCGCCGCTGACACGGGTCGTTCCTTCGCACAGCGCAAACGAAGGAACTCCATGAATAGCCTGGATGGCGGGCGTGAGAGGAGGAGGGGGGGCAACGTTCCTCACAGAAATGCAGGCGGATGGGGTGACTCCACCTTGTCGCACTCCTGCGCTAGCTGGCTCGGTCAATCCCCCCCCCTCTCTTTCTCAATGCCTCTCTTTCAGACGAGGGAGGGTATTTCCTAGTTCCACACGTGTCCTCCTGTAAAGGACAGCGGGTCCACAGATGAGTGCACACGCGCGCGCGCCGCCTGGCACGTCACTTAGGTTTCTCCCGCTTGATTTCTCAATGGACGCTGCAGTTCGTTCTTGGCAGCTGAACGTGTGGACGCGGCCCTTTTGTGCTTGAGGGGGAGGGAGGGGTGATCCAAGCCATCGCGTGAAACATCAAAAGTTCCCAGTTCCTAGCTGGAGGGATCGTTGGGGGCAACTGAGGGGATCTGCACTGCCCCGTGGCAAACGATGGTATTGTCTGCCCAGCTTCCATCACAGCTCTCTCTCTCTCTCTCTCTCTCTCTCTCTCTCTCTCTCTTTTCAGAAACTATGGCATCCTGGTTGGAGTTGCTGCTGAGCATGTGCAGAAGGCCTGCATTCAATACATTCTTGTGTGAGGAAGAAACAAGTTTGGCTCCAGACAAAAGCACTGCCCCACTATAGGCTTTTGCTACCCCTACCATCCCATTCTTGCCTGCTTTCATAGAAGCAGTGTGTGTGTGCAGGCTTGCCTGCTTATGTATATGAGGATAATTGTATGTGCGCACGCCCATTTTCACCCCAGTCCAACCCACCAGTGGCTGCTGTGCCTTCCACCCCTCCAACAAATGGGAGCCAGCCACCACTGCACAGGTATGTTCATTTGAACATCTGTACAATGACATCTGTATAGTGACATTAGATATAGAAGTGGCTCAGAAATTCAAATCCACCAGCATATGTTGGGGATGGAGCTGCTCCTTCACAAGATGTATTTATCTAGATTGAAGAGAATTAAATTACTGCCCCAGACCAAAGAAAGCTGATTTGTAGAATGCAAATTCCATCTGGTTCAAATTTCACCTCAGGTATAAACTCAGTAACTTTCCAAGGCAGGGCATTTTTGTTCCCTTTCTCCAGTAATGTTTTGTTCCAGAGAAATCCAGTCAAAACTGGAGAAAATCCAGAGAAATTTACTCACAGTGTTAAGTTTTGTGTTATTGTCACAGGAACTTATCAAATTTCAGTCATATCCCAAGTACAAGTTTCTTTTTTTCTTCTTCTTCTTCTTCTTCTTCTTCTTCTTCTTCTTCTTCTTCTTCTTCTTCTTCTTCTTCTTCTTCTTCTTCTTCTTCTTCTTCTTCTTCTTCTTCTTCTTCACAAACAAGCAGAAACAAAAATGTAATAACAAATCTTATTAGCTGGGAATTTTTTTTGCCATTGAGATACCGTTTCCCCCCAGCCAATGAAATGTGCAACATTCTGTTTTGCCATTGAGATACCGTTTCCCCCCAGACAATGAAATGTGCAACATTCTGAGACAAAATAAAATAAAATAAAATAAAATTTTAAAAATCCCATGGATGTTTGGTTTGCCAGACCAAAAAATAAAATAAAATAAAATAAACGAAAAAAAAAAATCCCATGGATGTTTGGTTTGTGCATTTGTTTGTTTGTTTTAGCAAATCATGATGCAATGTTGTACAAGCTACTGGTTCTGATTGTCAGGAAATTGGCCCCACCAATACTTTCTTCCATTAGAGGTCAGGAAATATTCCACACTAACAGAATGGTACATTATATCCCAAATCTAATCCTGACTCCTGACAATAACCCTCAATACATTGACGTTCTTATTGGGGTAAAAAAAGTACCCTACAACTCATTCAACAGGAGAAGGAAAACTCCGATTTCAAACCTCCACTGCCTTGTGGCTATATCTACTCATGGAAAAGGCTTCAGGAGTTAACCTCGAGGCAAAATCCGGAGCTGGAGTCCCGAAGGCAGCATGTGTCGTTCTGCCAACTCCTGCGACATTGCTGGAACCAGTTGTATTGGCTCTTGCCTTTCCATTGGACCATTTCAGCAATGTGGAGAGGGGGGATCTGCTGCTTGGGTAACAGCCTATCCTCCATATTACCTTACCCGGGCTTCATGCTCTGGAGAGGACACTCCTCGATTCAGAGCATGTTACCATAGTCTCTCGAGACTGAAGGATGCCTATGATGAACTCATTCAATGTAAGCATTATATTTCATAAGGATTTTTAAAAAAGGATCTCACACTCTTTTATGACTACAAAATAGCAGGAGGCAATGCCGGCCTGCCTTACAACACTGCTGTATGCATCCTTAGGATGATTTGTTTTGTGTATGTTCAAATACTAGCATCATTCACAGTTTGCACAGGTGTTTGTTGGCTTGTTATATTTTACTTTTAAAACTCTGTAGCTCCAGTTGGAATTGCCTCTGGGCACATATGGACCATCTTTCTTTTATGGAAGAAACCAGTTTTTATAGACTGAAAATAAAGGAAATCCAAGGGAGGATGAGGAAGGCACACAGAAATGTAATTAGGGATATTATCCATTCTGCTTCCCTTAGCAGACAGCAGGGCAATGCACGTACATGCCCACACCAACATACTATAAGACATGAGTCCCTCAAGTGTTCTTGGCCTACAACTCCCAGAAATTCTGGACAGAACAAATAGTGGTAAAGTTTTCTGGGAATTTTATTCCAAGAACATCTGGACAGCCCAAGGTTGAGAGCCACTGTTCTACTTCACTGCTGAACCAGTTTCTGCATATGTAAGAAGCCCAAGAAGGGAGAAGTTAAAAAAAAATGACAGAAGGCAAATGTGTGCATGTTCCATCAGAGGTTTCATTAGAAAGTTTCTGCAGATGAAAAGAAAGATGAAGAGAGTGTGGAGAACCAGCTTCACTTGTGTAATTGTGCATAGAGTGGTTCTCTTTATTTGCTGGTTTTATTCCAGCTCTACAAAGTGCTCAGATTACCAAAAAAATGTTTTTTACAACAGTCTCTTTTGATCATTAGGCAGAATCAGCGGAGGACAAAAGATCGGAACAGTGATATTTTCAAAAGTTAGTTCCCTATGTTTTATGTTTTAGCACAGGACATACAAGTGACAGGACAAATTAACACATTTGTTAATTAATGTTAATTAAATTAGCTTGGAATTGCTGAATTTGTTGCTTTCCTTTGCCAGATGAGTTTGTTTGTTCTGGGTTAGGTACTGTCTGCAATGTGTCTTGGTGCATTGGACAGTTTAGTTGAGGACCAAACTAGAAATTAAAACTACTAACCATATCTCTTGTGTATAACGCATCGGTCACTTGTTTTAAAAAATGCAAATTGCATCAGGTAGTGAACGCTAATAATTTTCATGAGTGTAGTGGGTGTGGAGAGGTAATCCTTCCACTCGTTCACCGGTTCTTGGAATCATCATCATCTTAGAACTACAGAACTGGAAGGGCCCCTATGGATCATCAAGTCCAGCCCCTGTCAGGCAGGCACAGCGGGGAACTGAACTCCCACCCTTTGGCTCCACAGCCAGAGAGCTAAACCACTAAGCTCTCCAGTAAGCTGGAATTTGTACTGGGAGTAAATCCTTATTAGCATTACTGGGTTACTAAATATTACATTGGCCCTTGATTCAGACCACTCTTTGATGATGCTGGCTAAAACTAGAAGATGGTGAGAAATATAATTCCACATATCAATTCCTGTTTAGTTTTTGATCCCAGTATATTCCACGATGTGAGAGGGGGGCTGATCCAAAGTCACCCAGTGACTTTCATGGCTAAATAAAGTCTAGAACTTTGAAGACGACGAAGACGACGAGATCTCCAGCTCGGGGGAGGAAGAGGATGAAGAGAAAGAATAAAGTCTAGAACTTTGATTTTTCAAGTCCTGGTTTAACACTTTTATTACTTTAGCACTCTGGTTCTCTCAAAATATGGGTGCATGCAATGACACATAATAGCAACAGCATTTGTAGCTGTCCAGACCAAAAGATCCACTTTTACAGAAACACAGGGAGCTGTTATGCTGAATCAAAGCACTGGTCCACTTTTCTCAATGTAGCCAATACTAGATCTTTGGGGTTTTAGGCAATAGTTTTGCCAGTCCTATCAAGTGTTGCAAGAGTCTGATCTTAATCCGCATGCAAAGTGCAAATGCTTTATCATTGGAGCCTGCCAGGTAAAGAGCTTCCAGCATCTTATATTTCTGGGTTCCCTCATCACACACAGCTCTGCTTTGGTTCTAAAAGCAGACATAATTAGGCATATCTAGAGTCTTCCACTACCACACTCTATTGGGAGATAACAACAACAAGCGTTCAAGCTGAAAGATCCAAGATGCTTCAACCCCACCAACCACCATCCCTTCCTTATCATCCACATGGGAACAAACGTTGCTTCCAGAAACACCCTTCAGCAAATTGCA